CATTATTGTTCTTTCTCGTTGCATAGTACTCCATTGTGTGTATGTACCATAGTTTGTTTATCCATTCATCTGTTGATGGGCACCTACGTTGTTTCCATTGTTTTGCTATTGTGAACAATGCTGCCATGAACATAGGTGTGCAAGTGTCTAGAGATTTATTAGTTTTTATTGTGAAAAATATCATGCATACAGTAGAGTATATACATCATGCAGCTAATTGAAAAATATGCGTACAGTAAAGCATATTAATAAATCAAACACCTGTTTATCCAGCACTCTGGTGAAGAAATGAGAGCATTGCCAGAACCATAAAACTTTTCATGTGTGCACCTCTTCAATTTCATCCTCATCCTCCAGGGGTAATTTCTGTCCTGATTTTGTATTATCATTTCCCCGGGGTTCTTCATAGTTTTACCAGCTATGTACACATCCCCAAGTTTACATTTTTTGTTTTACCTGCTTCTGAACTTTATAATGTATGGAATTATACTCTGTGTGTTCCTGTGTGACTTGCTTGTTTAACCAAATGTTATGTTTATGAAGGCATACATGTTAAATAGTATAGCTATTAGTTGTTAGCTCTCATTGCAGTATGGTATTCCATTGCATGATTATACCATATTTATTTATCCATTCTGTCGTGACACATTTGAAAACATTTGGGTGTTTCCAGTTTGGTGTTATAAACAATGCTGGTATGAATAATTTTGTAAATGTTTTTGGTTGATTTTTCTTTATTCCATCTTTTTGCCTCTTAATAGGCGTTGGTAGTAAACCAACAACCAAGAGAGTGATTTATGAGAGAGCAAGATGGAAACCTCAGTGTCTTTTATGACTTTTTTTTCCGGTTGCCATTGAGTCAATTCCAACCCATAGTGACCCTACAGGACAGAGTAGAACTGCCGCATAGGGTTTCCAAGAAGCAGCTGGTAGATTCAAACTGCCAACCCTTTGGTTAGCAGCTGAGCTCTTCACCACTGCGCCACCAGGGCTCCCTTTTATGACTTAGTCTTAGAAAATAATGGTGTGTGAATTCCAAGACTTTTATGACTTAGTCTTGGAATTCACACACGATTGTTTACACAGTAGCCTGTTGGTTACATGAGTCAGCCCTGTTGAATGAGACAAGGGGCTACAAAAGGGCATGAAGAACAGGAGGCAGGGATCACTTGGGGGCCATCTTGGATCTGGCTGGTATATCAGTTGTATTACTTTCCTACGATCGCTGTAACAAAATCCCAACAGGGCCATGTTCTCTGGGAAGGTGCTGGGGAGGATCTAGCCACACCCTTGCTGTCTTCTCCAGAGCACACTTTCTTAATTTTTACAGTATGGATAGGCTGAGAATGTTCCAAATCTTCACGTTCTACTTTCCACAAAACAATCGAACATAATTCAGCTAAGTTCCTTGCCTCTCTACAACAAGGATCACCTTTCCTCTGGTGTCCAGTAACATGTTCATCATTTCCTATTAAGTCCTCACCAGAGGCACATTTAATGTCCACATTTTTAGCAACATCTGTTCATGATGATAGAAACTTTATCTACAATTCTCCTTCTTTCTGAGCCCTTACAGAATGGCCTTTAATATCCACAATCCTACCAACAGTGTTTTTAGAGTGGAGCCCTGGTGGCACAGTGGTTAAGAGCTCAGCTGCTAACCAAAAGATCAGCAGTTCAGATCCACCAGCTGCTCCTTGGAAACCCTATGGAGAAAGTTCTGTTCTGTCCTGTAGGGTTGCTATGAGTTGGAATCGACTCGACGGCAATGAGTTTTGCTTTTGGTCTTTAAAGCAACCTAGGCTTTTACTATCAACCACCTTAAAATTCTTCCATCCTCTACTTACCCAATTCCAAAGCTACTTCTACGTTTTCAGGTATTCGTTACACAGCATTATCTCACTTCCCAGTGCCAAAATCTGTATTACTTTCACTGGGCTGCTGTAACAAAGTACAGTCAGGTGAGTGGCTTTAAACAATAGAAGTTTATTGTCTCACAGTTCTGGAGGTTAGTAGTCTGAATTCAGGGAGTCAGCAGGGCCATGTTCTCTTTGAACGCTCTAGGGGAGGATCCTTTCTTGTCTCTCTCAGCTTATGGTAGCCTCAGGTGTTCGTTCGCACGTAGCTGCATCTCCAGGTGGCCATTGTCTTAGTTACCTAGTGCTGCTATAACAGAAATACCATAAGCAGATGGCTTTAACAAACAGAAATTTATTCTCTCACACTCTAGTAGGCTAGAAGTCCAAATTCAGGATGCCAGCGCCAGGGAAAGGCTTTCTCTCTGTATTAGTTCTGGGGGAAAGTCCTTCTCATCGATCTTCCCTTGGTCTAGGAGCTTCTCAGCACAGGGACCCCAAGTCCAAAGGATGCACTCTGCTCTTGACTCTTCTTTTTTGGTGGTAATTAGGTCCCTCTCCTCTCTGCTATCTTCTCTCTATAATATCTCAAAAGAGATTGATTCAGGATACAACCTAATCTTGTAGATTGAGTCCTGCCTCATTAACATTACTGCCTCTAATCCTGCCTCATTAACATCATAGAGGTTAGGATTTACAACACACAGGATAATCAAATCAGATCACAAAATGGTGGACAGCCACACGATACTGGGAATCATGACCTAGCAAAGTTGACGAACATTTTTGGGGGACACAGTTTAATCCATAACAGCTGTCTTTCCTCTGTCTGTCTCTCTATGTCTCTTCTCTTTTATAGGACACTATTCAGACGGGGTTAGGACCCACCCTACTCCAGCATGACCTCATCTTAACTGATAACATCTTCAAAGACCCTATTTCCAAACAAGGTCACCTTCACAGGTACCAGGGGTTAGGACTTGCGCATAATTTTTTAGGGACGCACTTCAATCTTAAAGAGAGTGTTCTAAATGTGTCTGGTCAGAGTGGCATTTGTTGTAAGTTTTGGATATATGACCTTTATCAATTTCAGGAGGTCACTTCTATTCCTGGTTTGTTGAGGTTTTTTTTTTTATTATTATTATTGGAAAAAAAACAGTAAGGGGTGGATGGGGCCGTCCCCTGCAACAGCCTCACTAGCAGATGATGGGACAGGCCTGCATGGACAGACGCAAGCTTTGGATCTTCTGCCCCTCCCCCCAAGTCTGTGTGTACACAGGAGGCATTAGCCTACCACAAGCCCTCTATGGCTGAACGGTTCTGGAAAATAGCCCTTTCTGTTTTGAGGAAATGCCCACCGCCCTTCATTTTTATCTCTTTCCTTGCAGTGCCTAAGACAAAGATTTTGGCCACCGGAGGAGCATCTCACAACAGAGACATCCTGCAGGTAAGTGCCTGTAAGGCCCCGCACCGTGGCCTCTTCCGCCTCCGTGACTTGGAGGAGCCACAGACTCAGCAGGAAGGGCTGCCTGTGTCCCAGTCTCCCAGGAAGCCATCTCTGTCGCAGTTCACACTGTAAGCATGTTCTGCCTCATGCTCAGGTGAAGTCTGCCACCCTGTGTGTCTGCGCTCTGATAGCGGTGCCGCCCCCTGGGGTCACACGGAAAGTGCTGGTAGCAAACGTTCTGGTGTCTAACGTCAACATTCCTGGCCCTTCCAGTGTGAACGTCTCTGATTATCTGCGATCGTTCCTCTTGGAACACAGCTGCCAGACATTGTCTCTGCCCTTCTGATCCTCCATTGTGCTGGGGATATACGACCCAACGTGGGATCAACCTGCAGATATCTGACGCTCAGCCTGTCACATCGCGGGTGTGTTCTTGCTGAGACGCCACACGTTTTTTGGATATAGCCCGAGGCTGCCTTAGCTTTTGAGTAACTGCATCAACTGTTGACTTGTCATATACCTGCCATACATAAGATTCCCTAGAGGCAGAGCCTGGAGTGGGAAATCTCGGGAAGTGATTTGAGAGTGCCCCCAGGAGGCACTCGGGATTCAGGGATTCAGGACAGGTCAGTGGAAGGAAAAGGAAGGATACGGTCTTGGCGGGAGTCTGCCTTGGCCTGATCTTATGGGGAGCCCTGGAGTGTGAATTACACCACAGGGTCTCCTTGGGACAAGAGAGCCAGCTGGCTGCTGTGGGGAGTGATGGGCACAGCCTCCTGTGAGAGGCGGCTTCTGCTCAGCAGAGGGCAGTTCTCTTCAGGAGGGGCAACCCTGAGCCACTAGCAGCCAGTGCTCACAGCAGCAGGGGCAGGGGATCTGAACAGGGCATCGGTGGCACCTACTACAATCCCTCTGCTCAACCAAGACCCCCAAGTCTTTTCCATTCTACATAGGTGCGATTTAATTTCAGGACCTAAATGGAAGACTTTACCTTTATCCCTATGAAGTGTGCCCTTTTTCATTAGAGTTTGTTCGGGCTTGTTAATATTGGTCTGATACTCCACTCTCCCCAGCTCTCAGCCATTTACTAAGCATACTTACTGAGTCTCCTGTCTTATTTTTGATAAAATGGTGAAACAGTGCAGGCACAGCTGGAGAGATGTGGCCTCTGTAATATACTTCATGAGTGCTGTTTTGACCAGTTTGGAGACCCCCTTCATGGGCAGTTTGCTAAGCCCACACCCCAACCACTCCCCAACCACATCCCAAACACTCCTGGGCTGCAGCACCCATACTCAACTGCCAGAGGCCCCCCAGATGCCTATCACCTGGGACAGCCCCTTCTTTCTTGTTGTTAGGTACTGTCCTAGTCATTTAGTGCTGCTGTAACAGAAATATCACAAGTGAATGGCTTCAACAAACAGAAGTTTATTCTCTCACACTCTAGGAGGCTAGAAGTCCAAATTCAGGACGTAAGCTCCAGGGAGAGTCCTTCTCTCTCTGTCGGCTCTGGAGAGAGGGCCCTGTCATCAGTCTTCCCCTGGACTAGGAGCTTCTCAGCACAGGGACCCTGGGTCCAAAGGACGCACTCTTCTCCCCATGCTGCTTTCTTGGTGGTCCCTGTCTCTTTGCTTGCTTCTGTCTTTTATATCTCAAAAGAGATTGACTTAAGACACAACCCAATCTTGTAGATTGAGTCCTGCCTCCTTAACGTAACTGCCTCTAATCCTGCCTCATTAACATCGTAGAGATAGGATTCACAACACATAAGAAAGTCACATCAGATGACAAAATGGTGGACAGTCACACAATCCTGGGAATCATGGCCTAGCCAAGTTGACAGACACAGTTTTGGGGGGGACACAATTCAATCCATGACAGGTGCCAGTGAGTCAGTTCCAACTCATAGCGACCCTGCGTACAGCAGAACGGAGCACTGCCCAGCCCTGTGCGTCCTCACACACAGTCGTTACTATGTTAGAGCCCATTGTTGCTGCCACTGTGTCAGCCCGTCTCGCGGAGGGTCTTCCTCTTTTTTGCTGGCCCTCTGCCTTACCAGGCACGATGTCCTTCTCCAAGGACTGGTCTCTCTTGATGACATGTCTGAAGTACATAAGACGAACTCTTGCCATCCTCCCTTCTAAGGAGCATTCTGGCTGTACTCCTTCCAAGACAGATTTGTTTATTCTTCTGCCAGTCTGTGAGATATTCACTGTTCTTCACCAACACCATAATTCAAAGGCATCAGTTCTTCCATCTTCCTTATTCATTGTTCAGCTTTTGTATTCCTATGCGGCGATTAAAAACACCATGGCTGGGCTCAGGCGCACCTTAGTCCTCAAAGTGACGTCTTTGCTTTTTAACCCTTTAAGAGGTCTTTCGCAGCAGGTCTGCCCAGTGCATTGCGTCATTTGATTTCTTGACTGCTGCTCCCATGGGCGTTGCCTGTGAATCCTTGGGTGTACAGAATTATTCAAAATACCCAATTCTCGGGAAGTCCTGGAAACCTAGCCAACCCAACCCCGCTTGCCCTGCGTGAGCCGCCTCCGGTTAGGACCCCCTGTGTGGGTAACAGAGTCCTGCCTTTCGCCTGTCCCGGGATCATTGTGCTGTGTCCTGCCATCATCAGAAGCTGACGAACGTTGAGCACTCTGCGCTCGGGACCTCCCCCAGGTCACCCTGGTCTTACAATCACCAGAGTGGTGGGAACTGGCAGCGTGGCCGAGTGTACTTTTAAAGCAGTGGTGGTGGAATGGAAGGGAAAGGGGAGCCTGGAAAACACACCCCGAAAGGTCCACGTTCCTTCTGAGAATGACTCAGGACGGTAAAAACCAGCATGTCCTCTCTAGGTGCTTGCGGATGTGTTTGGCGCCCCGGTGTACGTCACAGACACTGCCAACTCAGCCTGTGTGGGCTCTGCATACCGAGCTTTTCACGGTAGGTCGATGGGTTGGGGACAACGGCCTCTGCAAGGGCTTGGGGCACTGGCTGGGCCGAGGGGGGTGGAAGGGCAAGACTGGGCTGTTCCAGTCTTTGGGGGCTTTAGCTTCACTTCCCTGCCTCCCATCGGGCCAAAACCAACCCAAACCCTCTGTTCCTGTATTCTCCACTTAGGGAGTGAAAGGGGGCAGGGGCCTCTCCAGAACAGAGTCAGGCTCAGCACAGAGATACTGGACAAGGACGTGTGCGTGCTGAGGGCATGCAGGCCTGGGTCTGCACCGCAGGTGGGAGGAGGGTGGATGAAGTCGGGAGCAGCCTGTTCAGCAGGAGCGAGAGGTTGAGACAGAGCCGAAGGCTTCAGACCCAGACAGTCCAGCACCCTGGACAGCTCCGCCGAGGCCCTGTGTTCTCTTGATGGCCTACCCAGAACTCCGGATGTTAAAGGAATCTCCCCTGTCTAGGGGGGTTCGCTGGGGCATGGCACTTGCCCACAAGGGCGTTCTTTGTCCAGTTTGAACCCATTTGCTGTGTCCACTGCCCTCAGGGAGCTCCGCAGGCCGCCGTGTGCCTCACGGTTTTTTGCCTTCTCTAGCGCTGCCATTCTTTGAGTGGCTAACCGCTCTTGACTTCTTTTCTGTGTGTGTTTTAATGGAACGTTTACAGCACAAGTTACTTTTTATTCAAAAATTTATACACAGGTTGTTTTGTGACATTGGTTGGAGTCCCCACGATGTGTCAGCACTGTCCCCCTTTCCCTTTCCACCCTGGGTTCCCCATGTCCACTCATCTAGTTTTCCTGTCCCTTCCTGCCTTCTCGTCTTTGCTTTTGGGCGGGTGTTGCCCATACTCTTGACTTCTTCACGCACCCATTTAAACGGAGGTATTTTTCTTCAGCATTGACGATTAATCAGTGCACAGATCTGTCTTTCTCTTCACCATTGAATGAACCTCTTACTCTTTTTCCCTACCTCCCCAGCATGTGTACCTTATGCCACCTCCTGGGTCAAGATCATTTGGGGAATTTATTGCCAGGTGGTTCTGTTTTTAATTATATTTTATATCATATTTGCTTTTGTTTGCAGTGAACTATGAGTTTTCCTGGGTGGTGGTGGTTTTTTTCCTTCCCACAATTTCTTTCTCCCTTTTTTTTTCTATGCTAGTTCTGTTATAATATACAACTTAAGTGAATTTTTAAGAGGGAGCTTGGTAGATAATAATATTCTGAGGCCACATATATGTCCAGGAGCCCTGGTGGTGCAGTGGTTAAGAGCTCAGCTGCTCACCAGAAGGTCGGCAGTTTGAATCCACCAGCCGCTCCTTGGAAATCCTATGGGGCAGTTTTCCTCTGTTCTGTAGGGTGGCTGTGAGTTGGAATTAACTCGATGGCAACAGGTTTGGTTTTTCACGCCCCTTTAGTTGCCAGAGGTAACTGGGGCACTGCCCTCCACGACAAAAGCCCGGGCTACATCCTAGCAGACAGTCCCCACTAGAGGCATAGTAGCCATTCCGTTTGGAGATCTCATCTCACCAGCTGCTCCTGGGTGGATCCCACACACAACCCACAACACACAGCAAAATGGTGGATTTGTCTGATGGGCAGCCGACCACCATCCTGTTCCCTTTCCATACGGATCTGAGCTGGTATTTTGTAACCTTCTGTTAGGAAAACTGGCCCATGTCTTCAGGGGATGCTCACTCTTGGTGGTGTAGTTTCTCTTCATTCTTGGTGGTGGTGCCAGGTGGTTGCTTGGTTTCTCTGTCGATCAGATACTACTGCTTAAATTGCCTAGAAATTCCCTGTTGTTTCTTGTCCTCTGTAAAAATGGCTTGGGGGCAGGGTCTGACCTACTCTAACTTCACGAGGGGGTAGGAGAATCAAGATGAGCTGAGTCCTATGAGCCCGAGGTCAGACATGCCTCCTCCATCTTCCCCTTCTTACCAGGAGCTTCTCAGCGCAGGGATCCCGGGTCCAAAGGACGTGCTGGCTCCTCGCTGGCCTTCCTTGGTGGTGGTGGGATCTTCTCTCTCCCGCCCCTGGGGTGGCTTATCTCAAGCCCAGCAGGATGGTAAAACTAACCAATCCCTTTGGTGGGCCACAGTGGCCATATCTGCATGGTCCGCCCAGTCACTTGGGTGTGGTTACAGGGCCGTGGCTACAAAGGGCACACAGAGCGATCCAGTCACCAGACCCGCCTCTGGCAGCCTTCCGTCTCGTCCAGTGCTGCTCTTCATTTGCTCAGGGCCTGTTTATCGAGTGGAGCCCTGGTGGCGCCGTGGTTAAGAGCTCGGCTGCTAACCCAAAGGTCAGCACTTCAAATCCACCAGCTGCTCCTTGGAAACTCTGTGGTACAGTTCTGCTCTGACCTGTTGGGTTGCTATGAGTTGGAATCAAGTCAACGGCAACGGGTGCTTATTGAGTGCCTCTGTGTGCCAGGTGGGGTGCTGGGCACTGGGATGGGAGCGGTGACCCAGAGAGACGCTGTCCCCTGGCCTCGAGGAGCTTACAGTTCAGCAGAGGAGGGACTGTAAACAATCGTACGAAGAAATATGTGGCCACAAATTGTGAAAAGGGCGCGAGGAAAAGCAGATGGTGCTTAGGGCTGGCGGGTCAGGGAGGGTCTCCTGAACAAGCGGTGTTTTTAGCTGCAGCTTACCTGAGGAGAAAGGAATAAGCAGGTGGGAGCAGAACGTTCCACACGGTGAAAAGCTCTGAGGCAGAACAAATTGAAGGAAGACCAGGGTGACTCGAACATGGTGGGCAGTGGGGAGCGTGGAGGGTGCTCCCTCTCCTTCTGGGGTGGACTGGCCTGTTCTGTCATTACCACAGGGAGCAGGATAAACTAGTCCCCTGCTAAGGAGGGGCCTAAGGAGTCCTGGTGTTGCAATGGTTAAGCACTTGCTGCTCACTGAGAGGTTGGCGGTTCGAACCCACCCAGGGGCTCTCTGGGAGAAAAGACCTGGTGATCTGCTCCCGTAAAGATTACATCCCAGAAAACCCCGTGGGGCAGTTCTGCTTTGTCACGAGGGCTCACTATGAGTCGGGATCACCTAACAACAGAGGCCTGGGCTTGAAATTTGCTTTTTCCTTTTCCTTTTGTAAACAGCTTTATTGAGGTATAATTTGCATGACATAAAATTTACCCGTTTTACATGTACAAGTCAGTGATTTTTAGTAAACCCACCAAGTTGTGTGGCCTTCACCATAACCCAGTCTTAGTGCCGTTTCACCCCCAGTGAGATCCTTTGTCCTCTTACCGCTGCCGTCTTCCTGTGGAGCGTGAGTGATGTGAAACGAGCCTTCCTTCCAGGCCTTGCAGCTGGAGCAGAGGTGCCCTTTGCAGACGTGGTGAAGTTAGCCCCGCGGCCCCGATTAGCTGCGACCCCGACCCCAGGAGCCACTCAGGTGAGAGACTGCCAGGATCCTGTCAGGGTGTTCACATGGTGAAAGCCAGCCGGGTTCTTTTTGCCAAAAGGTCAGATTTTCTTGGTCACCTGCCTTAAACTTGATGTGCTCAACTAAAGGGGAGATCCTCCCTTTTTGAGATCATCAAGAAAACTGAGTGAAAGAAACTGAGCTGTCCAGCGGGGATTCACGGATATTGCTGATTTTGCAGCCAGGGGTCAGATCGATTGCTGGGCATATCTTCATTGCTCTGTGTGCGTCGGGGTGGACCCTCCCACCTCACCAGGGGACAGGAGCCACTGGGAGACTGTCACTTAGGCACGAGGTGCACTGGGTTTATGGCACTCAGATCTCAAACCTGGATCCACGCTAGCCATGCCATGACCCGGGCCAGGATGTTCCTGTGAAGGCAGACCTCACTCATCACTGATTGGGTTCCCTGGAAAGCAGATCCTGAGATGTCAGTTAGGATGTGGGAGGTTCATCGGGGGTTGCTCTTGGGACCCACACTTGTGGAAGAGAGGAGGAGGAGGGGGGTGCTCTGGGACCCACACTTGTGGAAGAGAGGAGGAGGAGGGGGGTGCTCTGGGACCCACACTTGTGGAAGAGAGGAGGAGGAGGGGGGTGCTCTGGGACCCACACTTGTGGAAGAGAGGAGGAGGAGGGGGGTGCTCTGGGACCCACACTTGTGGAAGAGAGGAGGAGGAGGGAGAGGGTGAAGGCAAGCTGGGTGCCATCTCCATGGCGCCTTCAGTCAGTTCTGAAGCTGGGTGAGGTGGCCAGGCCTTTATACCTCATGTCAACCAGTCACCGCATGTGGGCCACTCCAGGATGGGGTGAGGCAGCTCTCTGTAGCCAGAGCAATTCCCGAAGGGGGCTGATAGCTGAGGGCTGTTGCCAGCAGCCGGGAGAAGTTCCTCATTCCTGAAGGAGAACCTGGGCAGTGTGCCACAGCATCCACCACCCCTTTCTGCCTGGGAGCAGAGTGGGTGCATCCTGTCAGGACTGTGGAGGGTCCGAGAGTTACCCTACTTGAGGCTGACCAGTGAGCCTGCACGGTCTCGTGGCTGCTGGCGGAAGATATGACTCCTGGGTCAGAGACAAAGGACCTCATTACAGTACTGCAGGCAGTGTGAGCTTCATGCCCTCCTTGCTCCCCCGGGTCCCCTAAGCCCCTGGGTGATGTGAAGTGGACACAGGTGTGTACTGCGTATGCAGTGTGTCTGTGTCACAGGTGAGGGACCCCGGGCTCAGGAAACCTTACAAAGCAGCTGCGTGCAAACCTGTCCAACCTTTGCCCTCAAAGGAGACACTGTCTTTATTATCCTGGACAGCAAACACGTCTGCCTTCTGCCCCAGAAGGAGACTCTCTCTCTCCTGAGGCGGTTTGCATACAGACAGCCTGGACAAGATAGTCTGAGACAGAAGCTGTCACGAGACGCATAGACATGCCCTGGAGAGTTGTCCCCCAGCACAGCTTGGAAGCAGCAGCTCGTACCTGGCGCTGACCAGACCCCTCAGCCGTGGCTGTGCCCAAGCCTCTGTCTGTTGCGTGTCTTTATGTTTACGGAGCCCTGGTGGTGCAGTGGCTAAGAGCTCGGCTGCTGACTGAAAGGTCGGTGGTTCAAACCCACCAGCTGCTTTGTAGGAGAAAGATGTGGGAGCCTGCTTCCATAAAGATTTACAGCTTCGGAAACCCTATGGGGCAGTTCTACTCTGTCCTGCAGGATGGCTGTAAGTCATAATCGACTTGGCGGCAGTGGGTTTGGTTTGGTTTGGGGTCCTTACGTTTGAGAGGGAAACCCTGGTGGCATAGTGGTTAAGTGCTACAGCTGCTGACCAAAAGGTCAGCAGTTTGAATCCACCAGGCACTCCTTGGAAACTCTACGGGGCAGTTCTACTCTGTCCTGTAGGGTCACTATGAGTCGGAATCGACTCGACGGCTACGGATTTGGTTTGAGAGGCTGCTCAATACAGTGGAAAGCACCTGCATTGAGACCAAGGACGTGTGAGCTCTGATCCTCCTTCTGCCTCCCCCTTACCGTGTGGCCTCCATGTGACCTTGGGCAACCCTCCTCACCCTCCACCCGTGAAGTGTGCGCAACGCCTGTCCTGCTGCCTTTGCCCGTGGAGTGGGAGGCTGAAGAGGATGGTGAGCGTGGAAGTGTAGAGCAGCGTACAGGCTGGAGAGGGCAGCTGTCCGGCTGGGTCTTTACGATGCCAGGTGTGTCAGATAGGAATGCCTTCAGCCACCAAAAGAAGAAAAGAAAAAACCCAGGATCCTTGACTCTCCTGAAGTTCTCCCGGAACCAGAAGTCTGAAGGTCGTTGCCTGT